TTCTTCTCTCCTCTGCTTCCCACTCTTCTACATCATGTCTTCCCTCCATCCTTTTCTACTCTACTTCCCCTTCCTTTCTCCTTCTCCTCTCTCCCCTTACCACTCCTCCTTATACACCTCATCTTCCCCCTCACCCTCTCTCCTGTCCCTCTCTTCCTATCTTTCTTCTCTCCTCTGCTTCCCACTCTTCTACATCCTGTCTTCCCTCCATCCTTTTCTACTCTACTTCCCCTTCCTTTCTCCTTCTCCTCTCTCCCCTTACCACTCCTCCTTATACACCTGATCTTCCCCCTCACCCTCTCTCCTGTCCCTCTCTTCCTATCTTTCTTCTCTCCTCTGCTTCCCACTCTTCTACATCCTGTCTTCCCTCCATCCTTTTCTACTCTACTTCCCCTTCCTTTCTCCTTCTCCTCTCTCCCCTTACCACTCCTCCTTATCCTCCTCATCTTCCCCCGCTTCACCCTCCCTCCTATCCCTCTCTTCCTATCTTTCTTCTCTCCTCTGCTTCCCACTCTTCTACATCCTGTCTGAACTGCAAGGATTCACTTAACAACAGTGGAAAGAAAAGTCAAATAAAATAGGGCATATAACTCACTTAAGAACTGACTCGCTTAACATCAGAAATGTCGGGCTTGTAAATGTGGTTGTAAGTAGAGGACAACCTGATATGTGAAGGTTTTTAATTGAGTGCAGGGAGGGGGATGAGATGAGCCCAGCCTTGGAGAAGGCAGAGTGGGTTTCCCAAGCAGCAGCAGCAGCCCCTTCCTCTCTTCCTCCCAGATGTTTCGGAGGCCGAGCAGACCTCCTGGGGGGTGAGGGGCTCCAGAAGACTGAATGATTCTGCCCTAAAACATCTGGCCTGGGAATTCTGGGAGTTGAAGTCCACCGTCTGAAAACCTCCACGGTTGAGGAATGGGAAATGCGCGGCTGCTGCTGCCCCCTCCTGGCCAAACCGGTGTACGGCAACCTTCCCGCCGCGGCTGCCGTCCCTGCGCAATCACAGCTGCGAAGGCTCCGTGGGAGGGGAAGGGGAAGCTTGAGGGCATTTAGCGCAGCTCCCTGCACGGTGCAAGACTCCACTCTCCTTCATTCTGGCAGGGGGCCCTCCAGATCCGCCGCCCCCCCCCCCTATTTGAAAAACCTCCTGCGCGGGGGAGTTGACTCATCAGCTGAGACTCTCAGCGACCACGCGGGACAGATTTGCCCCCCCCCCCGAGGAGGGTCTCTCTCTCTCCCCCACCCCTCGTGGACCTTCAGGCCTGCACCAGGGTCCCGCCTCACTCCCGCCCCCGATTTTATCAAGAAATTCCTCCCAATTTGCAGGCTGAACCTTTTAAGGTATTCCCTCCCTTTCGGCACGCCAGAAAAGCCAGACACGGTCAAAAAAGTCAAAATGGCGGCCGCACAACCCTGTTCCTGACATGCATTCCCCCCCGTCCTGCGACCCTGGCCCCTTTTAACGTTTTGGACCCCGTCCCCGCTGTCAAAGCTTCAGTCTTTTGATTCCTCCTTTCGCCCCTCACCCCGGCGTTACTTCCCCCCCGACCCCTACCCACTCCCAGCTTCTTCTGCCCCCTCCCCCCGGATGCCCCCCTCGCCCGCTGCCAGGAGGGCCTCTGCCTGCCACCGCCGGGCACTGCCAGCCCCGCCGCTCTTCCCGCCCCCTTCCCAGGCCCACAGTCCAGCGGTCGCAACAGAAGCAGCCCCGGGTCTCCACTGCGCTCCACGCATTTCCTGGACGGGAATCCCCTCTCCAAGAAATCCCCCGTACTTGGACTCGGGCGGAGGCGCAAGGGGTCTCCGGCAGCGCCCCCTCGGCCAGGTAGGCGCCACCTTGCAGAGAAGCCCCTGTCCGCACCTGCTGACCCAGCCCCTGAGCGCTCCGGAGCGGGACTTTTTCCGAAGGTGAGCACGGGGAGGGGGCGCTGGCTGCAGGAGACCCCAACCCACCCCGGAGAAAAGCCTCTCCGCCCGAATTCGCTCCTAGGACCTGCTTTCAGAGCAGGGCAGGGGGTCTTCCTTCCTCCCGCTGGGCGCGCAGAGACCCTCCCTCCCGCGAAGGCCGGGCTCCCGTGTGCTCGACGCCTCCATTCAGTTATCGCCTCGATTAGCTGCCCGTCTCACCGCGGAATTTCCTCCGTTGACTCAGGCTGAAAAATTCTGCTTCAACGCCAACTGGGTCTCGTTTACAGCTGCCTATTTTAACACCATCCCATTTATATTGATGCTCCTGTAATATAATATATTCATATTGTAATATTGAACGCCGTCGGTTGCTCAGCAAGCGGCCACTTTCGAAACTTCACTTTCGAAACTTTTGCCTCCCTGCGGACTTCGGACAGATTCCAAGTCCAAATTCTTTGTGCAAATTCTTTGACCCCGGGAGCAACTTCCCTTGCTGAAGGTCAGCAGGCAGGCCCCGTGCTTGGCCCCGGGGCCTCTTCAGCAGCCCACCAAGCCCACCCCCGCCCAACAGGGATCAAAGCTACAGAAAACAGGGGAAGTTCTCCAACTGGCACCAAATAGACAAAGGTAGCTTTGAGTCTAAAATGGCTTTTGGGGGGGATGCCAACTGCTGCCTCCACTCAGTGAAGTGGATCTGCTCCCTCTTAACAATCTCATTTTCTCAACAATCCTCATTCCCCCTCCCCCCCCCAGCCCTATTGACCGCTCCCCCCTCCCCTTGCCTTTTTTAAGTGCCCCCACTTTTCCCAGCCTGGACCTCTTCTGCCCGCTAGGCAGCCTGAAGTGCCTCTCTCTGTGCCCCCCTCCAGCTCCAGCCCCATCCACTGGCAGCAGAGCTCCTGCCCATGGACCTGAAGACGGTGCCAGCCTCCCGAGAACAGGGTTGGTATTTGAAGCTAATGGCCCCCAACACCAAGGGCCCCCTGTACGCCTGGCTGGACCCCTCTCGCCTCTACTGCCACCCTCAGGTACGGGGAAATGGGGTGTGGGGGGGGGTCAGACCTCTGCAGGAAGTGGGCATCTGGGGATGGGAGAGGGCTTTCTTCATCCTCTTGGGGTCTTCTGTGCCCCCCTCCCAATATAGGGGTCCAGCAAGGCTGCCTGAGGGGTCCCTGCCCAAACATTCTCGCCGGAGGCCATGGGTCAGGGACTGAATGGGGCCCAGGCGGAGTCTGTGGAGGAGGCCTCGGGGGCCCCCCTCTCCTGGGGAGCTGAGTCCCTCAGGGGCCTCAGGGTCAGAAGAATAAGTGGGGGGGAGGCCTTACCTGGCACTCCGGTGGGGGCAAAACTCTTGAAGCGGCCTGATTCATGACGCACCCCCCCTCTTAAGGGCTTCAGTCCAACTGCCCTGCAGAAGAGTTAACAGAACGCCCGAGTTGGAAGGGACCCTGGAGGACTTCTAGTCCAACCCCTGCTCAAGCAGGAGACCCTAACCCATTTCACATAAATAGCTGTCCAGGCTCTTCTTAAAAGCCTCCAGTGATGAAGCGTTCACAATTTATGGAGGAAAGCTGTCCCATTGGCTAATTGCTCTCCCTGTCAGGAAATTCCTCCTCAGTTCTAAGTTGCTTCTCTCCTTGATTAGTTTCCACCCATTGCTTCTTGTCCTGCCCTCAGGTGCCCTGGAGAAGGGTTAGTAACACGGTTGTTAAGTGAATTTATTTTCCCCATTGGCTTTGCTGGTCAGAAGGTCGCAAAAGGGGATGACATGAGC